TAATTTCGCGATATACATTATATTGATACAGTATTTAATAAATTACACAAATATAATATTCAAAAAAAAACAAAAAATTTGAGAATTAATACAGTTACGAAAAGTTATTACTCAACGAATATTAAATCACGTGAGACAAAAATTTATATATATGTAGATTTGGATATATAGAACATTTTTACTTAATACGCAGTAAGCGATTTGCTTTAACCAAAGTAATCAATTATCCTGTGAAGTTAAAAAAAAAGGTCTGCAATATTAATAAAGTTACAAAAACACATATTACAACACAAATATTAATCCAATCGAGATTAAATTTTATAATAAAATAGTATCACACCTGCTAAACAACTTTTACTTAGAAATTAAAAGTGATTGACTTTGACCAAAGTGTTTAAATTTCCTTATGAAGTTAAAAAAGTGTAACTTATTTAGTAAAGTTACAAAAAAAATATTTCTACAAGAATATATTAATCCAGTCAATATAAAACATTAGTTATACATAGTATCAAACCTGTTGAACAACTTTCACTTAGAGATAAAAGGTGATTGACTTTGACCAAAGTGCTCAAATTATTCTGTGAAGTTAAAAAAGTGTGACTTATTTAGTAAAGTTACAAAAAAAATTATTTCTATACGAATATTAATTCCATCAATATAGGAAATTAGGTGTAAATAGTATCGAACTACTGGTCATGAAAAAATAAATTTTACTGTTATATTAAAATGTATGGCTGATGGTACAAAACTACCGGTTGTTTGTATTTTTAAGCTTAAAAATATACCAAGAGAATCATTTTCTCAAGGAATTCATATACGTGTAAATAAAAAAGGATGGTGTAATGAACAAGAAATGCTCTGGTGGATTGAGAATATATGGATTCAAAGAAATGCACTTAACAACCCAAGATCTTTATTAGTTTTAGATTTTTTTCGTGAATATCTTGCTGAATCAGTTAAAAATAGATTTAATGAGAAGCAAACTAATATTACAGTCATTTCTGGTGGTCTTACAAGTAAATTACAACCTTTAGATGTAGCTATTAATAAAAGCTTTAAAGCAAAGTTGCGTTACTATCATAATGAATGGATGAATTCTGAAATTCGCAAATTAACACCTACTGAAAGAATTATAGGCTGGTGTAGATATTTCTTTAATTCAAAAGTCATTTAAATGTTGCGGAATTTCTGTTGCTAGAAATAGAAGTGAGGATAATTTGATGTTTGATTATGATAGTTTATTTAATAATACAAAAAAAAGAAAAGTGGGCAGGATAAAGTTTAGAATATTAATGATTTTAGTAGTGACAGTAACAATGATTCTTATAGAGATGGCAATAGTAAAGATAGTAATAATAGCGATAGTGATAGTAACAATATTAATAGTGACAATATTAATAGTGATGATATTAATAGTGATGAGTTTGACATAAATAAATATGAAGAAAAGGAAGTTTCAGATTATGAGAACGAATATTAGTTGGTAAATAAATAATAATTTTGATCATGTTCTTAATAAATTTACTGTAAAAATAAATAAATGCATCGTATGCGTTATAACTGCAATAAATCAATAAACTTAATTTTATTTATTGTATATGCTGATCAATATAAATTTTTAAGTATAATACCCCTTATAATATAATATCCCCTAAAATGTAATACCCTGAATACTATACAAATTAAGTAAAAAAATCTTGCACTCTTTATGCATAGTATCCGGACTTTTTGCATCAAAATTATAGGTATAGTACTATATTATAGGATACTATAATCCACCGTTTACGATATGCAGACAATGCAAAAAAGCTTAATATGAAAATAGACATTAACTACTATTTAGAAAAAATGGTGGAAATGTATGCATGCTTTATCAATGAGGATAATATATTCTAACCACTATCTTTACATAAAATTATGCAACTTAAAGATTCAGACGAAAAAGAAAAGCAGATTGACACTTATTCTCAGGACGAGGCAAAAAAATGGCTTAAAAAATATATAAAAGACTTACAATAATCTTTCTAGATACTCTTAGCAGGAGACAAATCTGATTAAGAAAACTTATAATATTATTTATATATTTTTTCTCGTGCAATAATACTAGCTAACTTCAATTTCTATCTTCGAACTTCCAGCCTCTGATTATATAGCCTGACCTCAGATATACCCAAAGATGTAAATCGCTAGTCTAAATATATCAGTTATTTTTTTCTTTGCGAAACGTCTCGATAGTTGGCTTGACACAATTCCAGAAGAATCCGCTCTATATATTCCATAGCTTTTTTCTCAACCACAATCTATATAATTGCAATTAGTAATAAGATAAATATGGAATATATTAACATAAGTGACATCAAGGAGCTTGTGATAATAGAAGCAGTTGCTGATAAAGATACTGATTATATGCTACTTGTAGAAAATATTTAGGAAGGTGAAGTATTAAGAGCAGAAAGTTGTAATTCTTTTAGGACCTGTTTACTCTCATTTTCTTTTATATCATTCATAGGTAGGGATGGAGGATCTACTTCATTATACGAAATGCTTCTTGGTTCTTTCTTTAATACTAACTGGTCCCTAAGAAATCTATTTTCCTCTATTAATTTTAATCGTTCTGAAGACCAAATATCTATTTCCCGTTTGAATATGCTATTTGAGGATTCTATTCCTTTTTCCATACATTTTATTTCATATTTTTTTGAATTAAGGTCCTCCTTCACTCAATTCAATTCAAGCCTGAGAGAATCGATCTCTTTGGAGTTAGATGAGCTTATTTAGGCCAGTTCCTCTACCACTCCTCCCATTACATCTAAATCATAATATGTACACTCTAGATCTATATCTTTTAACTTACCTTTCAATTCACGTATTTTAGTTTCAAGAAAAAGAATCTGAACCTTATCAGCAGACGAAGCTTTCTGGGCTAAAGTTAGCTTTTTCTTGAGTGATTTGATTTTGGCAGTATATTTGGCTTCAAACTCACGTTGACTCTCAGAATGAGACTTCCATTCAGAAATAAGTTAGGATTTAACTTTAGCGCTGGATGCATTTAACTGGCTAATCTTATTTCCAATATCACTATAGCTTCACTGATACTCCTTTTCCCACTCATTATATTTATCTACCAGCTTTTTACTGAGATCGTTAATCTTAGAGTTAAATTTGGTAACAGATCTTATTTTTTTTCGAGCTCTTGCTCATATGTACTACCCAGCCGATAACTAGGTTTTTTATAAGAACTACCCTCTCTATCTTTTATATCATTCAATGTATGCACATTGGATATAATATTAGCATAGTTATATATTAGAAAAAAAATGCACAAATAAATTTCTGAGATAATAGACATAATCTATTTATTTAGAATAATACATTCTTTCTGAATATTCTGTTCATTCTGTATATCCTATACATCTGGAATATTATCTTCCAATATATCTTGTATATCTTATATATTCAGAATGATACATTCTTTCTATATATCCTATTTAATAAATTATTTCAGAGTATTATATTAGATATGTAAAAAATATTGCTACTATACTTAGACAACGCATGAGATGTGATGCCCCTTCTTTTTCACCAGCTGATTATAACCATATTATACAATATGCTGAAAAAAAGCCTAGAGATAAAGTTTTAAAGGATTTGACAGATAAATATCATATATCATAAAAACGTATTTATTAGATCTGGAGAGATGAAGAAAAAAATAGGGTTGCGTGTAGAGCTCCGAACAGGTTAGTTCAGGTTAGGTCAATCAAGTTGCCTGAACTGAGAGGATCAGATCAGGTCAAACAAAAATTTGATCTGATTTAAATTTTCATTTAACCTGACCTGACCTGACCTAATCTAACCTAATTTGATCAAATTATTTAAATTA